CTGTATTACTGAAGACTGAAAAAAAAGAATCAGTATAAGTTTAAAGAATTTGTATATACAATTTAGATAGGCTCTCGTAACTCATAATAGAGACAATTCTTATAGATATGCCACTATTCATAATATAAGTGATCATTTTGTAGAAAAAAATTGGAAATTTACTTATGCAAAAAAATTATCTTTAATACAATAGTGAATATTTCAAATATGTAAGTGAAACAAAAATACATGTATTGACAAGATACGAAATAATTTTAATAACTAATAAGAGAACTTCGCGACGAGACGATAAATCTTTTTTTGACATGAATCTTACTTCATTATCTAAGTTCTATTCAAACAACTGAAAGATTAAAGGAATTTTTCATCATGAATCTATCTTCGTAAGTTATGATCATTTTAGTGAGTCGTACCATAAGATATCGTGATCATCGTCAAAATCGACTTTTGATTTCAAACTTTGCACAAATTTAGTTCTTAATGGGACTAGTTTATTTTGCAAATTTGTTAGAAAAATCTCTGCAGAATTAAAATGTGAAACACGATGTAGCTGTTGTTGATAATCACAAGAAGACAGTTTTATTCTATCTATTTTGAAACACATTTCTTTACCATCCTTTTACTTAATTATCCAGAAATGTAATAAGGAAGTGATTAATATAATATAGTGAGGTATTATTGGTATACAGTGTATGATTATATATCAACAATATTTGTCACAGTCTACAGAAGTTCAAATTTTTACGACTATACTCTTTTTGATGACGTTTCTCAAAATATTAAGCTTTCTATTATGTCCTACCTTCGGAGATTTTTAATAATAAAAATTCTGCTGTGCAAAAGAGCAAATCTTGTTGTTATGTTTGCATATGAGTATAGGATATACTAATCTTAAAATCAAAAATACAATTCCAAAATATGGCAGAAACCCTATGGATTTACCCTAAAATTTCACAATTGTAGACACTTTTAGTTAAAATCGAGGAATACGTTAAAAAGATAAAAACTAGAGGAAGAGAATAGAAAAGAAAGACAATAACAAATGGAAGAGTTAGATGAACGACAGAAGAAGAACAAAAAGAAATCGAAAAAAGAAGCATCAATAACGAAATAATTATGAATATCAACATCTGTGTATAATTATTGAGAAAGAATTCTCGCTCGATTAAATGTAACACTGAAAATGTTATCAAGGCACATTGACAGCTGTAAGACCAGCAAAAGAATAGCCAGAGAGAGAGAGTTTTCGTGATTTTGGTAAAAAGGGAAGTTATAACAAAAAACTAAAAATCTCTATCTTTTATCGATAGAAGATTGTCGAAAAACCGTCATGAATTGCCTTTTGATTCATTATTGGTTATAATAAATGCTTTTAGCATGAAGACATTGCTAGTAATGAGTTTATATCGAAAGTAAAATATCTGCAGGCTTCGTAGCGGTTCTTAGCGAATATATAGGAAAATATAGGGTGTGGGTGTGGGTGTGCCGATCTTATGTTTTTACATACCACACCCACACCCACACCCCATAAAAGGGCATGACGAAGGTGAATCGTAGGTGTGCTCTAAGGAATAAACTGTTTACTTTTTATTTTTCTTTCTTCAATAGATCGTTAAATCGAGTAAATTTCATCGAGAAACTACGTTGGGCCAGTAGTACTGATCCAGTTGCTTTATCTATTCTTGAAGATAGTGATCGAAATGCAACTTATCTTAGTCCAAATATACAAAATGAATTAATTTCACTTAATAAAATAACAGATACATTGTTTTGTCTCTTTAGTGGAATGAAAATTGGGAGACTCAATTGAGCTTCAGAAAAAATTTGAACTATTGTGAATAAATTTTTTTAAAGATTGAAGGGCACCGCCGGGGCACCCACAATTTCCTGGTTACACCACTAGTATGAATCTTCATGTCTCCTGATCGAATCGATCTAACTCAATTCAGCAACCAACCATAACCACTGTTGAATTTCACACATAATTTCTCGATGGTATTTAATAATAATGCATTTTTCAATAAAAATAGCTCTTAAAATAAAAAATTTGACGTTGTTTTTTTCATATAATTTGTTTTTAGAATCACATAATGAGATTATTTAAGAAAAAGAAAATTTTTTAACAATGTAAACAGACAAATCAATTGGTATTTATTAATGCAAAATTTAATTGCTTATTTGGTTCATTAATCTGCCGATTTTAAGGTGCCGACAATCGAACTTTGAGCAAAATTCTTTTTTTTTTCATAATTGAATTCGCTTTTTAAAACAGACAGAGCAAGCAGAGAAGCCTATGAGAATTTAAAAACGTCAAAGTAAAAATTTTCGATAGTCTCAATTTTTATCGAAATATTTGTTTTGATTTTAGTCTTCATATAGTTAGAAAAAAAAGATTATGCATACTTTTTGAAAAATATCATTTGATTACTGAGAAAATCGATTTTTCAATATGATAGCAACAAAGAAATAAATACGGGTTTTTATTTTAACATGTTGACTATAAGAACTTCAGTTCCGCGAGAAAAAAATATTATATTTTCAATCACAACAAAAGTCTGCATGAAATAATAAACTCAATGCTCAAGTCTAATTTTCGTCTTTGCTCTCCTCATTGTTATTATGCAACAATCTGAATTGTGCTCCCCTTTAAGTCGAAATTTGACGAAAACTAATATTGAATATAGTGTTGATTCTGAATATAAAATTCGTTTTTTTCGCAATTAAAGTTTTGATAGTCAAAAACTTAGAATGCAAATCCGTATTTGTCTTTTTTGACATCATCTAGAAAAAAAAACGATTTTTTTTTTGCGATCAATTGATATTTTTTTCTAGCTAAATGAAGAATGAGATCGAAAGAAATATTTAGATAAATATTTTGAATATATGAAATACATAACTTCATTTATTCATTTAAATTAAATAAGTACAAATCAATAATATAGGAAAACACTATCTTATTGTTATTCAGTTTGCACTAGCTTTTTTTAATCACATGCTTTCAAATTTAATTGTGCACATTTTGTTTTCCGAACCAAATTTAAACACGTGCAATAATGAAACTGAATATTCATCTGCGTATACTTGATGACTTTTTCGAATTCTATAACTATTTTATTATTTTACTCAGTCATTATGTCTGTAGAAAAGATAAAATAATTGCGACGGACTAAATTAGCGGTCGAAAATCGTTATCAAATAGTAGACAACAGGAGAGACAAAAAAAAAATAGATCATTTGTACTATAAATACATTGTGTAAACGAAATTTTCTTCTTTAATATACATTTTTCTTTCGCAAATCAAATCAAATCGGAACGAGTAAATATAAATTTATCTTAAAATTTCGTATATATTCTATCAAATAGGTTGTTATTAAGATGCCACCAAAACAAACATCGTCATCATCAGCTGCTGCTGCACAAGCAGCAAAAACTAATCATGCAAATCAATGCAATCCTAATCATCCCCAATTTCGAGGTCATCAACAGGGTTATACCGGTAAAGGTAATAAAGCTGATTTAGATCATCATGCAAAACAATTAAATCCCAACAATGAACTTTTTCGCCCTCATGGACCGAAATAATTCAAAAACATTATATAAACATTTGATTTCTTTCTATGTCATTTATTCACGCATTTGTTTTTCTTTTTGAAAATAAACATTTTTGATAATACACAACAGAAATGAAATTAGATTAATGAAGTTTATGATTGAACAAGGTCAAAAAAAACTTAATTGAGATTTGCTTGACAATAGTTCAGACAAATAAATTTTAACAGTTTGAATGATATTTTTTGGGTTTTTCCGTGCAACGAAAAACAAATCAGATTCTGCTGAGTAATCTTGAAGAGCTTTTACTTCTTATTTAGTTAAAAACATATTATTACAAATTAATGATTTCATTTCATAGCTAAAAGCAAAAGAATTTTCTCCATATAATATAAATATTGATTGATCAGAATATATATTTCCTTGAAAAGTGAAGAAAATATTCAAACAAAAAAAAAAAACTAGCACAATATACAAACTCTATTTTTTACTTGAAGTTTTCGAATTGTCTAGAATTTGTAGTTTCATACGACAGATTTTAAAATTGATCTTTATTGAATATTTGAAAATTTACACTTAAATAAATCAAATAATAACATTATTCTTATCAGCAATGCTAAGTTATTACTTTCTTATTTGTGTCATTTAGATCGAATATGAAAAACAATAGGAAATTAAACGATGAGTATTTTTTTAAATAGAAACATTAGGACAGTATATGAAATGGAGAAAACGGAGATGAAGACTTCTAAATATTTTTTCGTTCAGAATAATTAAAAAACCGAGTAGCTAAATTCGAATCAAATTTTTTATTATTGAATATGAAAGAAAAGCAAAAAATAATTTGAAATAATTATTGATCGACTTTGAAGAATCATTTTATTCTACTTTTTTTGTTACAATAAAAGAACAATCTTTGAAGAGATCACATGCTGTCAAGAGATAATTATTCTAGTGAGTATACAACGTTTTTATTCCATTTTGTAATGTTGCTGTTCATCTGTTTTTTTTTTCTACTTAAATATAAAATGATCTATCCATCAAGTAACATTTGTTTTACCGAGATTAATATTACAGATTTATGAATACAAATAAGAATCAGATAAATTATATGTATTTATTTCATCAAATTTCTCGTAATATTGTTAGGTGTTTATTTTATGTGTTAGTTCGACAAACGAAGATGTTATTTTTAACGTGGACAATGTGTATCAATTTTTGTAATAGCTTCGGCATAAGTTTTTGGAAAAATTAATGGAATTCATTTTTGTCGTTGTTCTTCTTCTTCTCTGTATAATTCAAGTATTGTTTAGAATTTTTCTTCAGTCATACCAAGTTTTTTTGCTAATGCAGATATTACATCAATTTCTCGTTGTTCTAAAGTACCATCAGCAGATGCTGCTCGAAATCCATCATAAATAAGTTCAGCTTGCTTATGTTCGGCAGTTTTTTATTTACTATCATTATTAAAAATAGCTGTAGAATCTTCAGAACCTAATTTATAACCTTTAGGGACATCAAGTTCTTCTTGTTTTACACCTAAATAGAAATTGAAGGATTTATTCATTTAATTTTCGAAATAAAATAACATACCGCGTGTTGCTGCATAGCCTATAATCCATTTTCGTTCAGCATCAGTAAGTAAACCATCAGCACCAGCTACATCCAAAAGTGTTTTAGCATATTTACTAGTGATATTTGCTTTGGATGGTCTATCTTTAGGGTGTTGGTGAATTGAAGATATATCTTGAAATTAATCGAACTTCAGAGCTACTTAATAAAAAATTGAACAATGAAAATTTGACTTTAAATTTCATTCATGAGTGAATCTCATCGTTCTTCGTTTCAAACATTTTCGATCATTAAGTATGTCAAGAAGAAACTAAGTTTCTGTTCATACTTACATCATTCGATATACGTATAAGCTTAGTTGACGTTCGACTCTCGTTAAATATATTATTCTATTAGTAATAAAGATTATTTCATATTGTAATCTTATACAAGTCCTATTAAAATTTTAACAAATGATATATTAACAGAGCAAAATTACAATGAATTTATATTCCCTTAGTTCAACTTGTTCATTTTCACACAGTATTAATTTTTAATCGAAAAAATTTTCATACAATTTTTCTTCTTTCACTTCAGAACGAATGACGGATAATTCATGCAGTTCAGCTGATCCGACAGCTATGACCCATGTAGCCGATAATGGATAACTAATGCAAAAATGACCCATTATTTTCCATTATTTGGTGGAATAGATTAAATAATTAATGGTAATGCATTATTTTTCGAAGTTTCAATGCGTTGCAATCAAGGGGGAAGGAGCGAAAATGCCGTACTTCAGCGTACTTCCAGACTATCGAATAACTGTGCATCAGATCTCTTTAGCTATTTCAAGTCTACTATCGACCTGTGTTACGGTATATTAGCCGGAGTTCAGTCTACGTAAGTCTATGTGACAAAAAAGCCGAAATACTTCACGGTACTTTCGAATTGGAAGTACCGTGAAGTATTTCAGCTTTAGGGTGAGGTTGACTCAAGTAAGCTGGACTCCGGCTAATATACCTTAACACAGGTCGATAGTAGACTTAAAATAGCTAAAGAAATCTGATGCACAGTTATTCAATAGTCTGGAAGTACAGGAAGTACGGCATTTTCGCTCCTTCCCCTTTGGTTGCAATGCATTTTTCAGAAATAATGCCCTAATGATCAATAATGCATTACCATGCATTATCCAGAATAATTTCAAAAAGTTTCAAAACTCAATAAATATCCAATGCATTGCAATGCAATTTTTAGAAATAATGTTCTAATGACTCCTAATGCATTGAAAACCAATGCAGTACCATGCATTATCCAGATTAATTTTAAAATGTTGCAAAACTCCATAAATGTCCAATGCATTGCAATGAATTTTTTAGAGATAATGTTCTAATGACCGATGATGCATTGAAAATCAATGTATCGGCATGCATTATCTGAAACAATGTTGAAACACTTCGAAAAATCAGAACATTTCCAATGCATTAGAATATACTTTTAGAAATAGCATCAAAGTAATGGATACTAACATAGGCTGTGGAGCGTCTTGAATCTAGGTGAGGCTCATAGCTTTTCTGATTCTCTCACGTCGAAGTACGTCGGTCAAACTTTGAGCGAAGCATCAAGCAAGTCTGTTTCTTTAACTCCAGTAAGCCAATAGAATAAATGAATAAAAGCATACGTGACTACAAAACACAAAAAAAAACAGCTTTCTCCCTTCGTTCGTGGATCATGAAGTGCCACAAACGCAAGGTTGTGTCGAGTTTGCCGAAATTAGGGAGTCAGAAATCTTCGCATCAAAGTTAAGGTAAATCTTCTGTGATTTTCAATGCACGAGACGTCTTCTTGTATCCAACCAATTTTGACGCAAGAAGTCAGGATTTAAGAAAACTCCGCAAAATCGTAGGAAAGTGAGCAAAATTTTATCGTGAAGCAGACTATTTTTTCAGACTCCTAAAAATTCTACTATTACTTGCAGCTTCGTCGGAAGAAAACGTCAAAGAGCAAATGACTGAATACTCTTGGAATAACTAACGGTCACTCTGGCGACGTTTATCCTAAACAAAGAACCTCTTTGATTACAAAAAACGAAACTTTCCAAAAAGCTTCAGTCTACAGGTTTTCGAGATTGATAAATCCTCGTGTAGTTACTAAATTTTTACGAAGCCAGAACATTTCGCACATTCTTTTAAAATATTCTATTTTCTCTTGCAATTTTTTTCAGGAAGACGCGTATATTTGTATTCAACTGAAAAAAAGTTGCCCGATATTTCTGCTGCGGAAGATGACCTCGCTTGCAATGATCATATTACAAAGCTCTGTAGAAAAGGTCCAGAGATGGTTAAACTAAACTCATTTCATACAGCTGTTAAATACTAACGAATCAACAAGTTTTCAAAATACTTCTGGACAATATTTTGTTTGAAAACAGTCGTTTGCATCCGGATATTCAGGATGAAACCCGCTAGGAAATGCGATAGTTATATACTATTGACGGAGTCATTCTCCTGCTTAGAATGTCCTAATACAAGTGCATAAAAGGCTTGAAAACTATGTATTCGTGTGAAATATCAAGTTTAAAATTAGATGAGGCTGAGCTTCAATTGATGAAAGTCAGGTGAGGCTCAGGCCTCAGAGCCTCAATGGCTCCACCACTTATGTATATAACACCGATAGATGGCAATTGTCCTCAATACAACGGTTAATAAGTAATTCTCTCACTATCCACAATATACGTTTAATAGCGCACTACATATCAACACACGATAACTAACTGATTTCAACATTCCACATTTTTAACACCTATTTATGTGAATGTTTCTTTCAAAAACTGTTCTCCTGGACGATAGAAATAAAAGTAATTTCTACAACACTGACAACAGAACTGTAAAGCTTTTCGTTCTAACTTCCTTCAAAATAAATACAATCAGGAGTTTTCCCCGAAAACATTTTTTCTCGAAGTTAATTTACTCCTTTCTGAGAACAAAAAACAGCTCCAAGTCATTCCGCTTTATTTCTTGTTTTTTTTTATTTGAGAGGGAATATGTTTATAAGGACCTTGTTTTGAAAAAACTATTTCGTTTTGAAAATATTATTTCGTTTGAAAATACTATTTTGTTTTATTTCTTGTCCCTGTATTTGACAGGAAATATGTTTATAGGGTTTTTGTTTTGAAAATACTATCTTGTTTTATTTCTTGTTCCTATATTTGAAAAAGAATATATTCATAAGGATTTTCTTTTGAAAATATTATTTTGTTTTGTTTCTTGTTCCCTTTTTTGTAAGGGAATATGTTTATAAGGGTTTTGTTTTGAAAATACGATTTTATTTTGAAAAATACTATATTGTTTAGTTTCTTATTCTTTTATTAAAAAAGGAATATGTTCATAAAGATTTTGTTTTGAAAATATTATTTTGTTTTATTTCTTGTCCCTGTATTTGACAGGGAATATGTTTATAGGATTCTTGTTTTGAAAATATTATCTTGTTTTATTTCTTGTTCCTATATTTTAAAAGGAATAGGTTTATAAGGGTTTTGTTTTGAAAACACTATTTGGTTTGAAAATACTATCTTGTTTTGTTTCTTGTGCCTTTATGAGAAAAGGTACATGTTCATAAGGGTCTTGCTTTGAAAATACTACCTTGTTTTGAAAATATTATTTTGTTTTAATTCTTGTTCCTTTCTTTGAAAAGGAATATGCTTGTAGGAATGCTGTTTTGAAAAATAGTATCTTCTCAGTTTATGTTGCTAATGAAAGCATGTGATTTTATCCGCGTGTACTCTTCAGGTATCCATGGGAGTTTGGTCTTTTTTTTCAAAGTGTACTTGAAATGGTAAGTAGGCGTCGGAGGAGAAGAACTACTGCGCACGAAAGCATAAGTTTATGAGTGTTGAGTGATTACACTCAAGTGCAAGTATGTAAAAATGTGTGAAGAAAATAGAGATAAGAAAGCAAAATCAATGTAAACGAAAAGCGTGGTGTTTGGTTGTAATGAGGATTAATTTAATGCATTAGATTTGCGTTAAGTTAAATTAATATTATCACGTATTAGAATGCATGCAGATTTCAATGAGTTGAAATGCATTAAATGATCAATGGGTTCAGTTGCATGATAATGCAGCCTGAATAATGCATTATAATGCATTAAGTGAGCAATGGACCTAATTACATGATAATTCAACCTGGATAATGCATTGCAATGCGTAGATTTTACAATTAATTGCAATGCTTATAAAGTTTTAATGCCTTAAAATGCATTATTTGGGTTGCATTATCATGTAATTGCATCCATTGCATCTCTATTGAAAAATAATGCATTGCAATGTACATTATTTCAAAAAATCGGCTACATGGGTTCGTGCCTCTCATATATGATCTCACATTGCTGTTGCTTTTTTATTTGAAGCAATATTAGTGCTGGAATGATTTAAATATGTAATTGATCCCATTGTCACGTTTCTATAATGTTGCTTTTTCCGTTTAGCAGAATAGATGAAGCGAAGCTTGCCTATATAATTACAGTGTGAAAAAAGCAACTTTTCTGGATGCTTACTGCGACGCCGAAGGTATATGAAAAAATCAAGATTCGCTCTGATAAAACCTTTGCGAATACATTCGGTTCTTCAGCTCTAAGGTAAGCTAAAAAAATGGCTAGTGCCAAGTCAGACATCGACAACAGAAATTCTGTTAAAAGTAATACTTTATTAACTAAGACATCGGTTCTCATGCGTACCAACAAGAAGAGAAAAATAATTGGGAAAGACAAATATTTTTACTGGCTTTAGCTTCTTTCCACTGTCTGCATTCCGATTGCCATTGACATCTTTACGCATTTTCAAATTGCATCGACTATGAAGACGAAAGTCGATGATAGTCTCAGCGTCATACATCTGAGTGTGAGTGTGGTTGGGTATGTCGTTGAGGAGAGAATCACTCTCACTTTCACACCCACACCCTCTCGATTCTACTCAGAAGTCTAAGAGGAATATCAGACAGGATTCTGCCAAGATGGTATTAAGTTTTTCTGAAGATCAGATCGGATCGAAGTCGTTGTATTAGGGTTCGCTTATGACTCATAGCTACATGAAACGAAGGTCGCAGCAAGAGACTAACAAGACTAATCAGAATTCTAAACTGAGAAAAAATGACAAATTTTTATCAGGATTCCGCTTCTACTCTTATGCATACTTGTTATGAGAAGAATGTTTTGGTATGGATATCGGAGTGGGTATGATTGTGGGTGTCAAGTGTTGACGTGGCAGAAGAGAAGAATCACATTCATACCCATAGCACATCTACGCCCTTCTCACGCTTGATCCACAACCAGATATACCTGAATGTCACTTAAGACTCAGAAAGATATCTTGTCATTCACTGTATAGTGTGTGAAAAAAGTATTTGCACATCCTTATAGTGCACAGTAGCATCACACATGCCAGATTTCAACTGAGGGAAAACGGAATAAGAGAAAATGGGAGTCGAGTTTTGGTTCTGTTGAATAATACATAGTTGCTAGAACTTGTCTTTCTGATACAGAATATATCCTCTTTATGCTTTTCCAATAGCTTCAAGTGAAAAATCTTTGAAATAGGAATTAGTACGAGGGTGGGTGCAGCTGCTAATTGTTGTCAGAGTCATCTCTCTACCAACACTCACCCATATCCACACATAACCAAACTTTTCTCGAAAATACCACTTATCTTTCCGTTTTCGTTTTGGTAAGGCACAATATATTTTTTTACAGATGAAAATGCTGGTCTGGATTAGGCTCTAGCTACAATAAAAGGTTGCACGGAAATAAAATGGGCTTCTGAATAGGAGAGACGGAAGAAGCGAACTTCTGTTCAGTGTCACTTCTTCTCTTGTGTATCACTTATCTGAACACTTTTTCGTGCTTATCCGAATTCGCTGCTCTGAAGGCCTCCTCTTTCGTCCTGCATCGGCGAAAGATGATTATGAATTTCTTGATTCAACTTCATATTTGACAGATCTCTGCCTGTCATATGAATACATGTCACATATCTAGGAAATCAAAGATGCTAAAGAAATGCAGGGAAATGTGGTCGATGACACACTATTTAATAACAGATGATTATGTTATGGATGTGGCAGTATGTGTTCGCGTTTCCTCCCTCACTCACACTTCTGAGATTTCACTGCGTGTGTGGCGACCTTCTAATCGCTAGAGAGATATGCTAAGAGATATCCCATCTCCCAGGAAGATGTGCTTGAAAACACCGTATCTCCCTAGGCGACACAGAATCGCTCGGAGGAATACTAAGCTAAAAATTAAAAAACAATATTTAGGGTGTGGGTCGCGGCATCTCTCGATACTTCTTCAGAATCCCCGATTTCCTGACTATGTGACACTGCTGATCATATGGGTGATAGCGACAGCCGAATGCACTGAGCCAACTCCATGCCACAACGACTTGAACAGAAGCAGTACATTAAAATTGTCACGAACTGTTGATGGCGTCTCAGATACCCAATGCATTTAATCTCGGAATCCATTGGATTGTCAGAAATTGTGGACAAGTTGAAGGAGAACATTTTTCCACCATTAAAACTTCAATAGTATTCCATATGTGAATGTCATGTTATGATTATGCTGAAATCCTCTCATGACTTTTTCTGTGTCTTAAGAGCATGATGTTCAGCTTGTTGTCCACTATTAACCCTTTCAATCCCGTATGTCATCTCGTAGATGCCATGCATATCGAAATATAGAAATTTTGCGTTCTGTCGTCTTCATACATGATACATATCATATGTATGTTCAAAGAAACGCGTGTATCCTTCTCTGTGAAAATATTTTTCTCGCACTGAACTAGCGTAGCTAGAATCCAGACGAGAACGCAAGAGAGAGAGAAATCTAGATTTTCTTCAACGTTGTATAGAATGAGAGAAAATGACGGGATTGAAAGGGTTAACTAGTAGCGCTCTCTACACTTAGCTTTCTATGCAGTTTTGGCGACATTTTTTCCAATCTTCAAAACGATTATTAGCATACAGAATGCGGTCCGTTTTCTAAATTTCACTTTTTTAAAAATTTTCTTCGATATTGATTTTCGTTTAATATTGAATCAAGACTCAAAAAAATGAAGTCCTACATCGCACATCTATCCATGCAACAAAAACCAGCATGGAACGGCATAATTTTATTAACTTTGCGTTAATCGCAATGTTTTTTGTTTGATTTCAGCACAAAAAGTAAGCAATCGAAAAGTTTTAACATTAATACGATGAATTGTCGATTTAGTTTCGGCTTTCAGTAGATGAAATATCTTATGTACTCTATCAATGCATTGAAAAACGAGGAAATATTGGTCGATCTATAAATTGCCACCATCTCATGAATAATACACTTTGAAAATTTTAGGATTTATCTCATTGAAACCACTCTTCTATTATACTTTCTGGCTGCTCTCAATGGCGCAGAAGAATGTGTTATTAATCTTATTCATATCAATTTTCATAAGTGGTTGTAGTTTTCTTTATATATTGACTCAAACTATACCTATGAACATAATCTATGGGCAGATTAATTCAAATTGTAATGGCACGTGTGTCTCAAATCATCTTTGTCCAAACCAGATTTTGACAAATGTATATGGATGGCGGCTGATTGGTGACACAGTCGAAGAACAGATGCGTCTTCATGATCTGGCCACTGTTGTTGCAGCATGGTCAGAGACCGCCGAAGACAATGTACCGACCGTTCCTTCTCTATCAGCTGATGAGCATCTACTTGTGTTGAGTGCTAGCGCCAGTCGCGTACGCTATGGTATAAGTGTGACCTTTATAATGGTTTTTCCAGGCGATGTCAAGAGGGTGCTATCGACAAATAACTCAGCCAAACCGATCTCACCACAAAAACTAAAGTTATGGTGTATCTTCAATGATGGATCAGTAACATCTGCCTACAGTTATGACTCTAACTATGGCAGTGAGAGAGTGTCTCTCGTTGATTGTCCTCTTAGTCATTTCGCCACTGATGAATTGTGGAGACATAATCGAACATTGCGCGTTTACCTTGCTTCAACAACAGACGCGGATCGAAATGCTCCTATTCTCAAAGTATTTTTGACTGTTCCCTTGCCTGCTCCATATCGAGAGAACTCAACTCAGCAGTTGGTGACTTTATGTACCTCACCCCTGCACAATAAAACGCATCAGCTCACTCAGTGGATAGAATTTCACTGATTAGTTGGCATTCAAAAGTTTGTAGTATATAATTCAATCGATACTAACGGACATCTCTCATCAGTTCTCAGTAACTACGCTCGAAAGTATCCAAATCTTGTCGATGTTATTCAATGGAACTTTTCTGTTTTGGCTCTCACTGATTATATCGGAATGAGATACTTTCAGGTTGAGGCTCTTCAAGATTGCCTTGTTCGGTGCGGCGATCAGTTGGAATGGTTGGATGCACTAGGCGTTGACAAGTACATTGTACCTTTACCCCCGTATGAGACTCTTCTCGACTATCTCAATGAAAATTACGGTCAACGTGTTATCGAATCAATTAATCTGTGGAGTCTGTTTTATTGCCCTCAAAGCACTCATACGTACACAGGGATAGAGAATGACACCAGTCGACTGGTGGTCGAACGATTCACTCTTCGAGCACCAAAGCACTTTAAAGATGGACGTGAAAAGTATCTATATCGTCCCCGTTTTGTTCAATATTTATCGATTCATCATCAAATCGTTGGACTGTCCAAAGAGAAACCGTCTGAGAGTCACATTAGGCTAGCTCATTACGGTGCAATGGACTATCTGCGTTCTTTACCTGATTGTACTGATGAACAATTAGTGAAAGATACTGGTATTCGTGATCGATTCGCTAACAGAATTCACGATGCAGTAAGAAGGCTATTCATTTAGGTTACGCTTTCTTGTTATCGAAGATCATAAACAGTTAGAAAGATTTTTTATGTACTCTGTAATATTCGAAGAATTTGTATCAGTTTTATTTAGTGCAAAACCTTTACCAAAGAAAAAAAAGAAAGGTTTGAGAATGATCGACTCTAAACCTAACGCGATTTTGGAATTTTTCAGGACAAACCTTATGTCTTTACTTTCTCACATTTATTTTAGCTGATGTTTGGAATCTAGAATAGAGCAAACATTTCTCTCTCTGCTCATGTGACTTACCTCCAAAGCAGATTCGCTTTGAATAATCAATAACCATGACACGAAGAGGTAGGTAGAAATAAGTTTCTCTACCAGAAAAGATGACCTTTTCGGTATTAAAACTAACATCGTCCCACTTGAAGCTAGCATAATTTTGTGAACCTTTTAAAGTCCTAGCATAATAGGTTCTCTTTTGAATCTTTCCTGTCTGCTCTGAAAAACGGTTCTATCATAGTGAGAAGCACTTTCTGACACCAGAGATGGAAAGGGCACTTGCAATCGGGCCGATACTGGTACGGGTTTTACACCGACCAGTCTACCAGTAGATCAGTTAGTTACCGGTAAATCACCGGTCGCCCCTATACTGGCTAGAGCGGTACCATTATCGATCATCAAAAATCCACACTGGTTCCATCTTTGCCTGACACACTTAGTTCAGTTCTGCTGATTTGATCAAGGGTTTGTATTTTGAAACCCTCTGTATGCCAAACAATCCAATTTAAACCTTTGCAAGTGACATCGAGCTATACGATAGTTGGAATGTGGTGAAATAGTCGTGGGTGCGAAGTGGGGGAAGCAGTGTGAATAGATAGGTGTGGGAGTGTTAGTGTGGATTTATGAACTATTATGTTTCTTTTCATGGTATTTATTTCTCTGTCTCGTTTATTTTCTTGTTCTTCTTCGTTGGTACTGTATTTATACGTGACAAGTCCGCTTAACCCCTGCGAAAGCTGTGTTAAAATAAGCTGTCAGATCGAATCAGTTTCCTATTTCTTCAGCTGGTTCCAATCCTTAGAAAAAATGCATACTTGGACTCGACATTTCAGATGATCTATTGAATTGGTGACAATATCAAATTAGACTTGTACATGAATGAGATTTAGCGGTCGAGCATAAAGCACTCTGGTGAAGAATCGCTTTGCCATCTTTATAACTATTATTTCGGCACTACCATTGATGATCTACATTAAATTCTCGATCAATAACAATGTTTTGTCATTCGAAAGAGGAAGTTCGAAAAATGCTCATGACAATAGAATTCCATCCATTTTGCATTTTGTCATTGCGCAAGGTGATAAAGATGATACCCGACACAGATATCAGACATCGAGTCCATTTTCGTTCATCAACTATATCATATTTCTTGCTGCTCGTCGTCATCTTCGTCCAGAGAAATTCTTCGTTCATTATTATTATGAGCCAAATTCATTTTGGTGGAATAAGACCAAACTTGATCCTGAAATAAATGTCACCCTGATAAAGAGACAACAAGTAAAAGAAATTTTCAAAAAATCTGTCGATCATCATGCTCATCGTGGATATATTATGCGACTCGAAGTACTCATTCAAGATGGAGGAATTTATTTGGACTCAGATGTATTAATACTTCGTTCATTTGATCCATTATTGAATTTGAATAATATCGTTAAGGTTCATCAAGATGATCAAGAAGCAGCTTTTAATGCAGTGATATTAGAGAAAAAAGATGCCACGTTTCTGAAACGTTTATATGATGCTTATCAAAATTTTAATCAGAATTGTTGGGACTGCCATTCAGTGAGACTTGCAGGACGTTTAACATCGATGTATCCGAATGAAATCACTGTCTTACCTACCAACACAATTTTGCGTCCCAGTTGAAATGAAAAAAAGCTTTATATGAATCAAACAACTATGATTTTACTCCGAATTATGCATGCCATCTTTGGAATAAGATAAACAATCATGATTATCTCAGTCGATTAACACCTGAATTGGCCCTAAATGCAAATAATACTTTTGGAAGAATGTTACATCATGCGATCGGCAATGCAACTTTGATCAAACTCAAACAATTCTTTAGTTCGTGAGATCATTCGTTTCACTTCGCATCTTGATTGAACTCATCACTCTTTCATCATGTAATCAAATGCCAAATTTTCTATCAAGAACAGCATATTTAAGAGGCACACTCTTATGAAACAAGATTATCAATATGTTGAAGTATATAACCAGAAAAATGAAGCAGCTCTTTCCTCTAATCTACCGCACAGACAATGATAGAAGTGTCAATGCTTTTGGGACCCATTTCAGACCGTGACAGTTATATAACCCTACAATATAGAATTTCTGGATCTCAAAAACTTTCGAATTTTTATGGAATTTTAAGAGTTTGAATCAACTTGCAATCATGAAACTCACAAAAATTCGTTTTTCTCAGAGTGTGGGTATGTACTTCTCTTCGTCCATACTCACACCCTGGGTGTGCAGGTGAGAGTCGTTGAGGTTTTGATGAAGAGTGGACAAGCACTCACCCATCAGTTTCATAATAACCCAACCATTCACTCTCAAATAGTTTAACTACTGCATGATGGGTTTTCTGAGACCTAAATTATGATGCGCGTTGAAGATTATAGCGAGAGAAATGGCCTCAACTCTGTCCTGTAGACAGAGGTAAGCATGTCTGTCATTGTCTACGATGGTTTCAAGAGGTTTTTGACATGAGGGTTAAGGTCTGCATCGTAATATCGATATGGATGCGGATATATGTTATCTACGCCCACACCCTAATACAATTTTTTTATTGAATTCATGCGAACACATTTTAATTATTCAAATTATGTTTATAAGTTACTCAAACACCGAATACTTGTTTAATAAGGAAATAATAGATCAGTTCTCTTACTGCATTTTTGAAAAGAATGTCAACTGTGCGAAATCTTGAATAAATGCTCCTTATACTGTATTGATTGAAATCAATAACAATTGTCGATGTTTATAAAAAAAAAATATATAAGTAAAGAATACTTTGTGCAAGATCCTGATTTAGAATAATAAACAAAGAAAGTTATTTATAGACGAATGGAATATATTTTGAATTTCGATGAAATTTTAATTAACCCTGTACCTCACAGCAATTTCAGAAGAATCACTAACGAAGTAACCATTAAAATAGAGTATGCATTGATTGATTCACCACAGCCTAGTTTGTGTATCGGTAGGTTTAGTCACGCTAGTCACCATTGAGAGAAAGAACGTCTTGACAAAAAAGATATTGCTGAAGGTTTTCCATAAATTTGATGTGGTTTGACTAAGACATGTCATAGAGAGCTTAGGAACATCTCATTTGATCTAGAATTACTTGCTCTATCATTACATGTAGCGAGAGCAAATTGTATACCCCGATTTATAGACGCTAGAAAATGAGAGGGTTGATTTTCTGGAAACCCCTGAGCAACTATTCTGTATCTTACGATCTCTTATCCATCTAGATTTTCTGAAGATTTCGAATGATATTGATATGAGTAGTAGCAATGCGGTCTATAACTATTGTGTGTAAGACAATTATGGCAATAGATAATTGTTTACACACTCAACAAAAATCGTCTTTTCTTTATTTACATTAATTACGTAAAAACAGTCCTAATGTGTAAATGATCATTTTTTCTTAAATGTATTTAAAGCACGTGAGAATAAGAAGACATTATTCAATTATACAAACAACACCGTGGAAAGGTAGATCGACGACTTAATAGCATCATGGAACCAGCACATCCTGTTTTTTTTCGATTTTCGAGTAATCTTCAAATAGCGCAATTATATATAGGTTGGGAGATTTTTCAATTGGTAACAGGCCTCGTGCCAGAGGCAGAGAGTATCCAGTAGTGTCAAACTTGAAAGTTGAGTTCAATTATTCAACTATCAGTTCAAGTAACCTATGTCAAGAAAGTCTTCGTACAAGGGTGTGGGTGTGGATGTTGATCCTTCTTACTACACCCACATCCACGACGTAAAAAATAATCAAGTTCTTTGTTTTAAATATCGCAATTCATTCTGCCAGTAGTATATCATATTGATGATAGCATCGCCCACATCGGCTTCCTTGATAGAGGATGGATGAATGTAGATATGGATGAGGATAAAATGAAGACTGGATATAAGATATAGAATTTGACTAATCTGTTGTGGATTTTATCAAGGACATTCTAAAATGAAGGTGATGTAAGAGTTTTACATTGCTATGAGATACTGAACGGCAAGAAAATAGTTCTTACACAATCTGTGTCTCCTAAGTTTATGAATGCTTTTGTTGTTTATTAAATTCTCTGCCCAATAGCATATAACTGATAGCAACATACATCAATTGGAGTGTGAAAAAATCTCTTTTTTTCTAAAGTATATACGATCATAATAATAATAATACTAAATAATGTATTTGAATAATCAATTTTTCACGTCAAAGAAGTGACAATACAGTGAAATTTACAAAATACCGTCAATATTTCTCATCGCGCATGATTTTTTAAAGTCTGTCCGATAGTAATTGGAATCATTTCTATAGGAAAATCTTTAATGTCAACAGGAAAACGATCCAAAAATAGATGAAACCATTATGAATCTCAATGATCTTCGTTTGTATACTATCGCACATCAATGCTTTTATTTTTAAACGATGTGAACCAAAGAAATTATACGAAAATAATATATAAATAGACGGAAATTTCGTCAACATCAGTAAACAGAGTCTTGATAAATTAAATCTGTAAAATATACGAATAACTAACAAAAAAGAAAGCACGTAATATAATACTGTAAATCTCATAAATGAAATGTGTCAAATACAGAAGAAGTTTTGATGAAAATGTCAACTTCAGAAAGTCTATTTCGTCTATTGTCGGAACTAAAATTTTTATTTAATAAGAAATGACTAGAGGAGAAATAGAGAAAAAAAGTTGATTATCGACATAATAAGTGGTGAAAGTACATGCGTTGAAGTGTAAAAAAACAGATCGCTGACATTCAAGAATAAATATAAGTAAACTTAAAATGAATGTCGACTACACTTTTTTTACCGTCTTCAATAATAAAGAGCATCTCGTAGAAAACGTACCTCTTTGTTCATTATTTTCTATAGCAATCATGGAACGCCAGAGCAGGTTTATCCTGATGGTTGCTTTTGAAATTCCAGCAATCTTTTTATCAATTATCCTTTTTGTTTACTTTGCTTTTAATCGTCCTGCTCGTTCAAAACTCCAAAATCATGGATGGCTCATTCTGCTGACTATCAGTTTCTTTCAACTGATTTTGGATCTGCCCATGCCAATGAGCTATTATTATTTGAACTACATTTGGTCGCCAACAAATGCATATTGTGTATGGTGGACATGGTGTGAATACTCTCTGAATATTATCGGATTATTTCTAATGGCATGGATATCTATCGAACGTCATTTACTCGTTTTTCATCAGCATACAATATTTCAAGCACGATGGAAAAAATGGATCTTTCATTTCATTCCCATTGTTTTCTGTTTGATGTGGGCACCACTATTTTTTCTTATCTTCATTGTGATTAGTCCATTTTGCACAACTGTATGGAATTTTAATCAACTTCTTTGTGGTTTTCCATGTTATTATGGAGAAAAGATTTTAAATAAATTTGATTTTATCTTCAATCTTCTTCTTCCCGTTGTAATCATTATGTTGGCCAATGTAACCTTAGTTATTCGAGTTATCTGTCGAAAGATATCTCGACAACAAGTAGTCAATTGGCGACGTCATGGTAAGATGGTGTTGCAACTATGGATCATCTCATCACTCTATATGGGACTTTGGCTACCTTTGACAATCACATTATTCGTTCAAATGACTGTACTACCCTCATTTATGGTCCATCAAATGGAAACGTTGCAGTTCACTCCCTATTTTGTTGCACTTCTATTGCCAATGATATGCCTCAGTACACAACCTGAATTAGTAAGAAAAATTAAGAATCATATTCGTATACGACCAGTGAACAAGGTTACCGTCATAACTTATAATCGAAATGCAGGACAAACGTTGACTTTTGCTCATGCTCGATGACGTTTCTTGATGAATCGTATATCAATTGCACAATTCTCTTTTCTGTTCGGAATCCACAATCATGTTCGATCTTGCTTTCTTTTATATTTTTGTTTTTGTTTCAGTAATCAGCACTTTGTTTCTTTACCCTAATTATAAGAAAAACAATGAAATACACTACCAAAAAGTAATTCTAATAGATATAAAGGCTGACACCGATGTTATATTTTCTGCATCACAATCGATTTTGATCAAAATTCTTAGAAGTTTGATAGAAAATACTGATTTATTGTCGATAGTCTCACTCACTTATACTATAATGCTGATAGGCTATTTGTATTCTTATTTCTTGTCTTATCGATTGATTTAAAACGGAACAAAAATCATTTTGTAGCACGTAAAACAGATAAATTATTGGAACGTGAAAATAATAAAATTGACGAGTAGTTAAAAACTACTAGAAAAGATTATTTACTATCTTGCTGCTAGACAAGAAACAATCCAATTAATACGTTTCGAATGTGTTTTCTTTTTTGTTGAGTTATTCACAATGAAAGAAAAGAACACACAACTGTCTATAAAATGATATGCGTATATAATTTCAGAGCTGGACAAGTCACCCAAAACATTATACAATTAAGTCAAGTCAAAATTGACTTGAATTTCGTGTGTATATGTTTTGAAATGTTCAACTGTGCAACAAAAATAATATGGAATCACTCTTTTAAGATTAATTATATCAGTTGCTGATATCAGTAGGCCCAGAGATTTCCCTATCGCATTAAATTAATGCATCAAATTTAGGAGTTAGAAACCAAATAGGAATTATTTATAACATTGAGTCAAGTCAGTAGCTATGAAAATTTCTAATAAGTCAGTCTTATTCAATACTTAACTTCTAGTTTGAGACTGAACATGATGTTGAAAGTGGATGATAAACATTGGTCCTGACTGAACGCAAGAAAAATGACGGTATATGTGGCAATAGACGTCATAGACTCAACGAATAATCGATAACATGCAAACGTATATTGTTTCCATATAGATTTATTATTCCCTTAGGCTTGGGTGATTCCATGGGGTTTATACCACTTTGGTCGAAGTAGTCTTGGATTTTCATTTTCGTCTTCTAATTCATCCGAAGACAGTCTGAAAAGCATTCAGCAAAAACAAAATTACGAACTTGTCCAATGAATAGTGAGCATCCGTGGACAACATGAGGTATATGTACAATTTTTTATAGTAAGATTTTGTTCCATATATGAGCTAGTCCGTATAAAGCACGACCGATCTTGCTCTATCGAGGTCGTCAGGTTTTGATCCATTTAAGATATGAAGTAGAGGAAAGAGTTTTAAGAATTTTGACACAAGTCGTTCCCAAAAATATTGTTCCGTTCTCGAGATATTTGAAACTTTCTGAAGACACCATAGCCCAAAAAGAACATTTTTGTGATTTTTTTGTGATTTCTTGTGATAGTCATATCTCATGA